GATAGGTCAGCTATTAGTACGCCGTCTTGCACCTTTATAGGCACTTGTTCTCGTAGACACCATTTATTCTATACACGTTAGGGGACACGCGATGGCGTTGTCCTTCTGGTGGGTGTAAGCTAGCTCTCGGTAGCTACTTTAACTTATTGCTCAGCTACGCTGAGTGTGAGCCTAGTAAAATTGGTTTATTTTACCCATGACCCCTCCACGTTGATGCGTCATTGGGCCCTATGGAGAGCTTATTATTGGCTGAGGTCTGTTGTGTCAGACCCTTAGGCAATAAACTTCCATGGGACCCAATTTATATCAAGACGACTGAGGGTTGACCACTGGAAGGGGCCGTAACCTTACTTAGCTTTTCCAAATTTCAGAGACAGGGGTGACGAAGAGAAGGAAGACACAGGAAGTGGGGAGAGTTTTGCTCATATGATGATCTCTTGGAACGTCGATTCTACCGGGCTTTTATTACCAAGGTGAGTACAGCGTGTCGACAGCGTCATACCCAAACCAGCAAAGTTTTTTGTGGAACGATTGTTCCCAACATCCAGCACGACAGCCAAGGCCGCAAAAAACGCTTTACAGCACAAGGAAGCCTCGAGGCAAACGTACAACAAAACCAGCAACCCCATAAAATATTGCGTTTGTCGTCAGAGAGAGGCGCCCAACGAGTTACTTAGCCTATCAGGTGAGTCAATGGCCCTGCATGTTCTGCTGGTTTGGAAGCCATTGGACGAATTCGTTGGGCCGCCGCGTTCACTGGTAACATATTTGCACAGGATGTCAGAAATATCGGTCATAATAGGGCTTACTGGCATAGGGTTCGAATGTTCTCTCGGAAGGACGCCTATCCGACTTGTGACAATATGTTCCAGCTCCTATACATGCCACCTATGCGAATGTGAGTGGCTGATTTTGATGCTAGTAACCTTCCCCCCTATCCTATAACAGTGGCAAGGGTTTAGACGAGCCCCAGCGGGCCCGAGTGGGTAGCCTGAGTGGCGTAGATGTTGGCGCAGAGTGGATTTGGCGGCCGCAAACGCGAGCAACAAAGGAGTCGTCGCACTGAGCCTCGATCACTTCCGGCCAGAGTCCACAATCGTCGTAGATTCTCTAACAAAAGAAGGGGAAGCTTGCCAGGTGAGTATATCTCCTTCCGGTATATGACGCAGCCTG